TCATTTTAAATCAAAAACATAGGGAATAGACTGCGCAATTTATGGTCAAAATAATCGATAAAAGTAAGAGAGAGGAAACGTTGGAAGACGATCAATTTGTATCTCTTTCTATTCAATGAGAGAGAGAATAGAGAGCTTTTGCAATAACGTGAATCCAAATGGTGAACGCTAAAGTCACTTTATTCTTTTCTTAATTAGTTGTTAATTCCAGTATGGTATTGTTATTTTTGATTATCTTTCCGATAACAACAAGGTTTGATCCCAAGATGAAACCCTGCAACTTTGTCACACTGTATATATTTGGACTGAATATGTATTTTTAACTCAAAACGTATGAAATTTATACCTCGAAATCAGACAAAGACAGATAATAAATATAAATCAAATATTTTATTTTCAATTAATTACAATACTTCAAAGAAATTTTATTGGAAAAGTTTGCAAAAAATGACTAATTTGGATAAAAAATTCTCAAATTTTTAAATTTAATGTTAAAGCAAAAACCCGTAGGATTTTTTAAATTAACCCTTTGGACTGACAAAAAAAAATAGTACGATATGAATCGCTCAAAAAAATATAATTATTTGAATTATCGAAAATCGACATTTTTGAAAAATCTACATATAAGTTCACAATTAATAAAATTTTATTATTTAAACGATATAAAATGATAGATAAAGGATTGTACATATGTAAATATTATTATAATATATATAAAATTAAGTTTATTAGGATTTAGTTTAGAGAATGATGCAGATCGCTCTAAAGAAATACATTCGCCCCGATCGAGCGATCTTCGAAGACTGACAGAGATTATAAAATTTCTACTATTTATTATTGAAATAATTCTTTTTAATTCTATATACATTTCCGTATTTACTTTTATACTATCCGAAACTCAGCATATTTAAAAAATAAAAGAGTATCCAGAACGCTGAAAATTTACAAGCTACTCACATGTGTCCCAAGTACTCTCTTTGAATTTTCGTGCATTCTCACATCGAGAATAACACAAAAAAAAATATCCTTGCAGGCTTATCAACTGTCTGGACAGTTAAAAGTTTTTTCAGCTTCAATCTTCAAATTATATTATAAAAGATACAACAAATTATATTATAAAAGATACAACATGTAAAAAATTGCATAGGGTACGTTGAACTCATGAAGGTCATACTAAGTTAAAAAGAGTAAGGTAACGATGAAAAGAAGATAAGAGAGTTTACCGTCTGGATAAACAATATTAGAAAAAACTTTTTAATGAGAACAGTGGTCTTCTACGATCCCTCTCTCTCATTATTGTCGATCACATTTGAATTAATACGGATCGCGTAATCTATACTTTTGCTTTAAATTAATTTCATTTCAGATAAAATTAAGCGCTGATAACTTTGGATTTTGGACTTTCAACATAATCAATCTGAATCCGCAAATTAAATTAGAAAGACTGTACAGAACTTATTGCGAAAAATATTATCTCTGCTAGGATTCGAACTTGGAACCAATTTCGAAGAATATAATAAGTTCTTTCTAATTAGTTTAGGAGATGATCAATAGCGTTTCAGATTGATTGTGTCGAAAGTTATCAGTGCTCAATTTTATCTGATGTATTCATATGTACGATCATTCTAAAGTCTTAATAGTTCACATAATTATATTTTTCATTACCTAATTCCTTTCCGAAAGCTCGATCTTTTATATGCTGCGCTGTAGTAACTCGGCCATCAAATTCTTCTCTTGAAAGTACTTCTTTTATGCTTTTGTAATCGTTCACTATTATTGTAAAGCTATCACCCATATAGCAACTGATAACCTTTGATTTTAGTTTCTTCACATAATAATCGATTGTTAAATATGGAAATTTGTAATTTCCCCATAACAACATCCAATAAGATCCTCCTATCGGAATTCTGATAATGCCTATCTCAAATATAAATTCCAATATTAAGATCATCATGTCACAAACAATTTAGAATTTGACGTCACAAAGATATAAGTGTATAAGTTATTTTTTAAAAATAAAAAATGATAAAACTATTTTACGTTAGAGACTGTTAACTATATGTGAATAAATAGACAAGGTCTCTAAATTAATAAGAAAATTTTCCGATTTGTATGAGTTTTTAATATGTTATAAAATAAGGGACATATGTATTTTTTTATACATGCTATATGCACTTTTGGAAGGTGATACATCTCTTTAAAGAAAATCAATTATTTTTTTCTAAATGAATATCGTCGTCAAAAAGGATGAAAAAAATCTTTTTATCATTATTATAAATAAATGTATTATAAGTAAATGAAATTACTTTTATTCTACTTTTATTAAAGAAATGTTTTTTTATAGTTTCGACGATGTTTGCTTCGAAAAATAACTAATTGATTAGGTATTTCACTTGCTAAAAGTATACGAGTATGTATAAAAAAAATATGTATCACTTATTTTCTAGATTACATATTAAAAACTTACCAAAATTGAAGAATGCTTTTCTTCGTAAAAAAAAGAGAAGTTAAAGAAAATATTTAATGGCTAATAATAAAAGTATAATGTGACTTGATATTCTATAACGGAGATTGAAAAAAGTAAAAAGTAACACAAGATAGTTTATAATATTTTATAAAATTCTAATTTTATTTTACCCGGAGGTGTATTAGGTGGTTTATCATAAGCAAATTTGTATAGTTTATATATCACAAGAAGCGTAAATATTACGATTAAGAATGGCGACATGATTTAAACAGATCAAACAGTAGATATCAAATGAACGCTTCGCGAAACGAACGGGTTTTATAAATCTCGTCAGTTTGCGTAATCCTAACAAGTGGATATAGAGATATGAAGTGTTACGATGAAAGATAAAGAGAAAGATATATAATTTAGTGCCCCTTACAATTTAATATTTTCTCTTCAACATCAAGTGTTATCATGCAATTTAAGAATAATATATCCATAAAATAATAAATAAAATTCCTATGATAATCTTCTCGCTTATAGCAATTAAAGTATAGCAAGTAATTATCTGTAATTATAAAATATTTATACTTTGGCTAAGGCGTATCTTTTGACCTACGATTTTATTTGTGCTAAAAAAAACAGAAATAATGATTGAATATTTAATTAAAAAAAAAAGCGAACATAATTAGTCCTGACAGTATAATATATACAACGATAATTAAAAAAAAATAAATCTAACATCAATGAAATAAATGCTTTATAGTTCTGAAAAATAAGTATAATAAAATTAAAGTGCATAATTTAAGCTTTTTATTGTGAGTTTTTGAAAAATATTTGATTCATCTAAAAACAAACATAGGATGAAATCATAATTATATACAATAACAATAAAAGAGTAACATTTCATAAAAAAGAAATTGGCTTTTTCTATTTATCAGAATTATCTTCCATATGCATCTTTTAAATTATTTTATCAACTATATTCATTAAATAGTCGATCGATTGAGATTTACAAATAGATTAAGTCTTTTACTTTCCATTTTTCAAATTTAAAAGAAAATCTATCGAGTTTTTCTAAATTGTATGATTTTTCTAAGTTATAGAGAATTGCTATCCTCTATATATAATTTCTTCAGCTATTACACAATAATTATTCAACAATTAATTTTATTATTAATCACAAATGATATCAGCAATCCATCAATCAAAAAGTTGTACACTGTAATCTCGTAGATACGATTTTTTTGCAATCGCATATATATCTTAAAGAATAATTAAAATAAATGTATTCTGACAAAAAACGTTTGCTTTATAAATGATTGTATATTAACATATTTTTACATCACAAATAAAATATCTAAGTACCTAATACGTTTCACTTTTATCTCTGAACTACAGAGGTTTACATGAGAATATAATATTTCTATCAACGCATTTTTTCCATACACACATTATATAGAATACATTATATATACAAATACGCACGACAATCGCATGCATTTCGTAAATTATTCGAAATATTTGATATCACTACCCTGGCATACGACTGGCAAACTATTATTGAGCATCGAACGCATTCGATCGTCATTAATTACCGTATAACCTACATTCGGTGATAACTGGTACAACATGCAAATGCAATCTTCCAGATTTTGCATGATCGCTCGATCGAACACCGGTGTTTCCCTCAGATCGAAATGCAACTTCAAAAATACAGTATAAAGTGGGGCGCAATGTGCAGCTATTCGCAGACGAAACATTAAGAGGAACGTCTTTGCCATCTAAGTATAAAGAAAATACAAATTGAGATTAATATCTGTTTTATTTATTTTATATTGTATGGCATATTATGATATTGTACCTCTAAAGTCGCCTTTAATGTCCTTAAATCTGTGTGATGTTCGCAGTACTCGGTAAGTATGCGAATGAGCGCTCCACACCATTTGGCACAGCCTATGTTTGTAATGAGTTGAGGTAAACTCAACATATATACATGCCGCAATTCAATATTCTGCTCAAATTCCATGTTCTCTATCAAAGTTGAGAGAACTTCGTCACGTGTTGTCCACTGCAAAAGTGGGCAAAGAAAATTATAATTTCAAGACTGAATACTGATTTCTGATAATCTTGTGAGTAGTATTACCTCAAATAGATTTATGGTATTATCCCAATGTTCCATAGTAGCTAAAAGACTAGCCATACAGGAATACAAAGGAATAATGTATTTTGCTTCCTTTTGATGAGTTAAAAGTTGCAAGGCGTGATAAATTAGTTTAGCATAACCAGAATCTATCAGTCCTTTTTTCTAAAATATTTGTTAAGTGAATACATATTAAGTATATACATTATTATATATACATATATA